GGATGGAGCAACTATAGTTAAATCTGACGGGTGGGGGTGTTTTTTCAAAACAGCTTAAGAACTCTGGGGGTCTAATTTAGAAATATGAAGTTTTGAGGGGCCAATATGCATTTGACAAGGTCTAATACGCGGGGGAAGAGCACACTTGTTATTAATTGCATGGCGACGATGAATCCTATCAGAATTTCTAGCATGGCAACAACCCAGAAGGGATAATTTGATGTAATTCACTAACAAATGACAAATTTCGTTGCTTATAATAAAAAGAAAAACAAATTGGTTACTCTGACTGATGCCGACAAATTGCCAAGCATGCATGACTCTGCACCGAGTTAGAAGAGGAAAATGATGGATATTAATATTCAATAGAACCCGTCATCATGTCTTATATCAGCAAGCGTACGCAAGTCCCAGCCACATCAAAATAAATTGTCAAAACCCAGCAACTTTTTATATCAAAGTCTTTAATAGGTGTTCTTTGAAAAAGTCACGTGATGGACATCCGACAAATACGTGCACAGAAGGACGGTAACATTTTTATTTGTCTAGTTCCCTGTTTATGCAAACTTCATAGTTTTTAATAATTATTATTTACGGTAGAAAATTATTATCGTCCAGCTAATGCTTGTGACGTCCCTCAATTTCACTTTCTTTGGCCTTAGAAAAATAGGAACCGGATGTTTCTGCTGCCGACAGATTCCTGTGATTCTTGTTTGCTTGCTTGCCAAAGAAAAGCTAGAAAAGCGCATTACAAGAAAAAGCTATTGTCCATGACACTATATATTTTTTTTTTGGGTCAGGGTCGTGAACAGTTGGAGGATATCTAATAAAATGTCAACGAAATTATGAAATAAAACGAAACAAAGGACCAAAAATATCCGGTAACAGTATGCAATATTATGTCCATGGGCATTGGTGCCATTAGCAACAAGACTATCATCAACGAGCAATATTATGTCCATGTACCGCCCTAAGCAAAATGATAATCACACAAAATTACTACATGTGAAAGCTACATATATCTTTCCAAGTGGCAGATATTTCTTTATTTTACTTATTTATTATCATTTGTTTCGTTTTTTCCCTTTTTTTTTTCCTTTTTTTTGGTATGATTCCAAGAGGCAGAATCGAAGGCAATATGGTTCTCCGTAACATCAAAAGCTCAATGACAAGATCAAAATCACACAAAACGACACATGCGAAACACCACGTATGATGAAAACCATCCCTAATCTTCTCGCACAGAATAAATTAAAAAAAACAAATCTTCATTCTCGACGTATAGATTACATGTCAAATAATGTAGTACTCTTCATTTTCGTCAGGATAGAAATTACAGGTGATGGGGCCGAGATTAAAAATAATACAATGGATAGCAGTAAGTAGAACAATCAATTTGAATAACTATATAACAATACACAAAGGATGTGGCAGCAAAGCAGCCCATCAAAATATCCATGAAGCCTATACTGCTAATCTCCCACCGTCATTGACTATGTTCAGTCTCTCTGTTGTAGGCAACAGAAGATTTTTGACATTCATGACACATTGCAATCCGATACCACTCCAGCGAACAAGCAGCACAGAAGTCTCCATCGAATTTGATTCACAAAGTCATCGAATAATACATGATTAACTGGAGAGCTGGAACCTGGCACGTGGTTTCCTCTTCCTCCATCCCTGCGCGAAGCGAGGAAACGAAGAAAGATAGTACGACGTCAAAATAGCAATTCTGATAACAATAAACAGACCTAGTTTCATACGTATATGACTTACAAATGCTGCATAATAGAAGATGGTCAGTATGGCAAGACCAACAAAGCCATATTGGAAGACATTATACCTGTCAATACGCAAACAAATTAGAAAGTGATTAAAAAAAAGATTGAATCAAAGATCATGCATATGAATAATGCTTTGGTTTTTTCATATTTAGCAATTTTGACTCGTATAAGAGATGAAGCACAACTTACTTGTAAAGATATTTAATTCCACGAAGAGACTGTAGAGTGTGGCCAAATATCTCCTGGGCAGCAGTTGCTTGTGCGTACGCAGCAAATGCTGTAGCACAGAACTGAATCACACTGCAAAAGAGATCATTTCCTATCATCACCAATAACATTCCCGAACAAGTCTCCATATAAGTGAAAAGGTGTCAAACGCCATGATTTTGATGACTGGGACAAACTGTAACTTTCTTCAAAAATTAAAGAAGACTGCACACTCAAGATGCAGATGATACTTTGTACTTACGCCAAAATTATATTGCCACCTCTAGGCTTATTTTCTTATTCAGGTAGCATCTATCTGAATCCAATACCGATAGAGGTGATACCATATGCTAATTCACAGATGAAAGAACTCTAGAAAATAGAACTCATCGCATTATGAAACAGGAACGATAAAAAAAAAAAAAAAAAGGAAAAAAGGAAAAAAACTTGTTCAGCTTAATGAGGTGCCCAGGCCTCTTAGAACATCCACATGATCCCTCAGACAAACTGATTTAACTGGAAATTTAAGCCCTCCCCCACCAATCCCCAAAAAAAAAAACACGCCGAACATGAAAATAGAATAGTGCTAGCTTGGATTATCATGCAGGTCAAACACTTCCAGAAACTAGAAAGTCCAACAATCTAGATATCACTATCCTATGCCAAGCAACAAAAATATTATCATATGTCAAGTAATTTAGCCAGAAGATATCCCAAACAATAGATAAAACACCAAACTCAAGGGAAGCTAGTTCATGTCATCATAAGGTTGCAGAAGTAGCCTATCTTTATTTAATGCTGTCAAACCACAAGTCCAAGGGTACAGCATATGGGGCCTCTGGTGGAAGGATATGTCTAATATAAAGTTTTGTGATTGTGTCTGTTTAAAAAGAAACTCTTTCACATGCAAACCTGATGGAGCAAAGAAGGATGAGTCCCACATTAAAAAGGAAAGAATTCATCAAAGTTGCTCCCCACCTGAAAAAACAGCAAGTCAATTAACAACCAAGAAAAAAAATTATTTAAAAAACGATAGGGTGACATCCATCAGGCAAACAGGGTGGATAAGTAATTACTTCATCGGGTGAATGGTTATAAACACTAGTCTTAGACCAAGCATCATAGCTCCGGCAATTACTGCAATCAAAAGATAGAAACAGAAAAATGCAAATGCTGCAGTACCTAGCAGACCTGGTTCAATCAATACAAATGGTGTCAAGACAAATGGTTCATACATAAGAGAGAGGAAAGTACTCAAATTAAGAACGAGTATATAGCTTCAAGTGACATACCCCAGACATCATCCAATTTGATAAAAACTTCATTTAAGAAAGGGGAGAGCGGAGGGTTGATCAATGAGTATATAATAATATGTGCAACCCAAGCCACTGAAACAATTAACCTGAAATAGATGACTTTTAATTCATCACCCTTGACAGAGTAGATGCTGGATGAATACTAAGGCACAACATTAAAAAAACAATATTATCGTAAAGACGGTAAAGATAAGAAAGGAGTGAATCCGTGCATCAAGAAAATGAGAATAGGTCAAAGTATCGATATGATCCCATTGTTATTGAGGCGCAAGGCGCAAAGGCCCCTTACACGCACCATGCGCAAGGTGCACAACGATGCGCGCGCCTCACTGAATTGAGGCACACAACTCAAACTAATATTTTTCAACATGAGACAAAGAAGCATATAAGCAACATGTTTATAAATTGTCACATTAAAAGACCAAGAAATATAATTTCACCGACTAAATCACGAAAGAGTCTTAATTAGCATGCATAACATAGAGAAGTTCATAAGTTTTCACAAATCACAATGCAAGATAATCTCCAACATAAGCAAAATTCTATGAAACAAAACAAGCAAGTAACAAATAAGAAATATGTATTTTCATTTAAAATATGATATATGTATTCTTAAGTAACAATTAAGTGATTAAAAAAACATGATTGTTCATAATTTTTTAGTTAGCATTTTTAATTGCTATTTGCTAGTTAGCATGAAAATATAGAGAATGGAGGTAACAATTACATATTTACATCTTCATAATTTTCTAGTTAGCGTGCTAATTAGAGAAGGAAGTTACAATTAGCAAACAAGTATACTAAATTACTAATTATTGTTTTCTTTTTATAAGTTAAACATGAAAAGATGGAGAACGGATTAGCAACTAGCAATAAAGAGTATTACATGATGTAAATATGTAATATGTAAATTATTTAAAAAAAACAGAAGAAAAGAGTTTATTACATGACGCAGGTGTCAAGCGCGTGCGAGGCGCACTCGCGCGCGCCTCGTGTGCGTGCAGGCCCTGCCTCTGGTGCGGGGCGCAATTGCCCCAGCCCGCAGCGCCCCGCGCCCAGGGCGCACATCTCGATAACAATGTATGATCCATCTGCTTTTTTCTTCGAAATGCAAAGTGCACATGCAAGTAAAAGCAACAAAGGTTCAAGAGAAATGACAGAGCTCAAGCTAGCCATCTGACCAATTTGGTGGAAAATTAAAGTTCATCTTCTGAGAACAAGCAAGTACTCAATGACGAGACAAGTTGAACTAAGTTTTCATTTAGTTTTGTTCTATCGAACTAAGTTTTCATTTAATTTTGTTCTATGTACTGATATCTTAAGAAATAAGAACTATGTTGCCCCCACCCCAACCTCCACATGCTTATATCCTCATATGGAAAAATAAAGTACCAAGTACAAACTAATATTAAAGCATTCTTATGATTTGCATGGCAGGATCTTAGGTTGATCGAATGGAAGAGGTGCCATTGATGGCCATTGTGAGGCGTGCCATGATGTGCTTGAGACATGAGACTACCTTCTTTTGCAATGCACGAATAGCTGTACCATAATGGAACTTTCCCTTTGACCCTAGAACTCGTGTCAAAAATGACAATCTGTACAATTTCAAAATAACCATAGTTCTGACCAGTGATTTTGTTGGGTTCTAGGTTCCCCAAATAAAAAAAGGTAATAATTTCACGCTTTAAACCATCTTATAAACTCACAGTTTCCTGTGCAGACTATGAAATACAAACTTGACAATTTGGTCAGTTATCTGAAATGCACCAAACTAGAAATTTCAGATTGATAAAGCTGAAGTTTTCTAAGGATACACTAATATCATTAGTAAATGTAGTACTTACCCCAAAATTCCCAATATAAGCTTTCCCAGATACCCCAGTACAGTTAATGCCCAAGTAGTCTCTGCCTGTAAAAGAATGCAAAGAACAAATCAGTAGATAGGAAATACTAAAATACATATTCAATAAGAAAATATAAGTTATTTTTACCTTTTCTCCTTGAGGATACATCTCTTCCAAAGCCTTCATATCATCTTCCAGAAGAAGCAACTCCTACAAGATGCAATAACAAACAGAAATACTCCTTACGCCTTAGCATGGAAAAAAGAACAGTCAGATATATGAAAAGCACTGGTCAATAACAGAATTTATCTAGGACTAAATGCAGACTGGATTTTTTTTTGCAAACAATTAAAAGAATGAACTATGAAGAGAATGACACTGAATTTTCAACAATGAAAATGAATTGTTTTGTCTGCAGTGGTGTAATATAATCAAGGAAAATATGACAGGAAGGCTCCTTGCTAAAAACTGACAAGGCTTCTTTCTACAAAACAACCTTTTTCTGGTGATAGTACACCTCAGCAAGGATACCAATCTCACTGCTGTCCTAATAGTCCTTCATCAATGCCAATCCAGACTAGATATAAGGCCAAATCAGTCAAGAAGTGATAGGCTGTCAATCAAAAGCCTTGCCAAAAAACAATTAAATAATTATTGACAGGTTAGTGGTGGTATAATGTGCCAGTTTTTCCAACAAGAATTCAGTAAGGAAATAATGATTCAAAGTTTGGGTGCTAAACCCACTAAATTCAAAATGTATGATTTTTTTAACTTCTGAACAGTCATTGAACTAATCATCAATTAATATAGAAGTGGAAGTTGTAAATGAAACAGTCGATCACATGAATTAACCAGGAAAACATCCACTGACCATATCTCTTTAATGAGATGCAAGATGAAAACCAGATAGGTATTAAGTGCTAAATTAGAGCATTTCCTTTTCATTTTTCACCTCACTCTTAGTATCTGAACCATAAATTCTTGTTCATTATTGGGACTATCAAACTTTTGAAAAGGATAGAACAGAAATCCATTAACCATTGCATAAATACTACAATGGCATCCCATGTCACACAGGATCTACACATTTCCTTTTCATTTTTCACCTCACTCTTAGTATCTGAACCATAAATTCTTGTTCATTTTTGGGACTATCAAACTTTTGAAAAGGATAGAACAGAAATCCATTAACCATTGCATAACTACTACAATGGCATCCCATGTCACACAGGATCTACACACTCTAATAATCACAAACTTGATGTCCTCTATGGGGATTATCAAACTTCTGAAGGAAAGGGTACAAGTACCTGTTTTTGTTATTCCACTTATCTTCGTTCATTTACTTCACATAAATGATTTGACATGGTTCACTAATTAAGGAGCTTACAAGTTACAAGTCAAGAGGCTTGATGGACTTCATATGCGCCTGTATTATTAGGTTAGCTTTATGGGCTCTTCCTGATATAGATGTTGAATTTGCAATTATATCATGTAGTATATTGTGAACCTTTCTGATAGGAACAGCTAGCTTTAGATGATGGTTATTTTGAAAAGATATATTAAAACTTGATATTGGAGAAGTGTTATGCAAATATATAAACTTAGAACTTTGGAATGATAACTTGACATTGTGTTATCTATGCACGTATAGACTTGGAAATGCTTAGGTTGGTAAGGGATGATGAAAGATGATATTGTGAACTTCTATGAAGTATATCTTCTTGAGTCCAGTACACATATCATGTGTTGTTTTCGTTATCTACCAATTATCATAAAGAGCCATGGACCTCACTCCATGGTATTTGCATAACCATAGAGATGATCATAAGGGAAACATTACTTATGACTAAAGAACTTCGCTGAAGTTTGAAAGACAACTATAGACACAAAAATACGCTGTACAAATATATAATTTGGCCCATTTAATAAGGCTGATTTTATCACTCTGTAAGCCCAATTTAGCTTGTTGGACAACTGTTCAAAATGTGTGGGATTACATAGCTACAAGAGATTGACCTTGAATGTACCTTATAATAAAGATTATCATTATATATATATATATATACTATATACACACACACACCAGAACCTGGTAGATGAGAAACTGTATAACTAGTTTCAAATGACCAAGTCCAAATCCACGGAATTTCCGCTTCAGCAAATAAGTGAATAAGACATAAGGCATCTATAATTTAGCTTTCATCCATCTTTGAGATGAGTGGATGAGAATCAACCCACACTGAGTATAACTTCATGATCGGTTCTGAAATTATACTGATTTCAACACCATAAGTTTCCCACCAATGATAGAACTATGCTGGCAAGCCTTTATGAAGGGCTTCCGGACGAATCTTGATTAACCAAGTATGCTTGTTTTTAGGGTTCTGATATAAGAACACATTATAAAATGTCTGTCTGCAGTCCTAATAGTTAAAATAATATACTTCCTTGGTATTCTGAGCTTTCACCAATGGTAATTCCTGATTAGGATTAATTACCCAGTTTCTTGGATGTATAACCTCTTGAATAATAATACATTTGCTAAAACTTGGTGGAACATTATGATTCTCACTACTCCAGAAATGGGTAATTTCCATTCCTTTTTGCATTATTAATGTCTTCATCCAAGCTCTTGATTTTAAAGATAGAGTTGGATAGTAATTTTCGTTTAGATATTCCTGACGAATTTTATCAGGATCATTCATTATTGGAATATCCACTTGTTCTAGATACAGAATAGTTTCAGAAGTCTTTTTCTCTGTCCATTCTACTTCTTTTTTGACAATTGAAGTAAATGGTTCAGGAATATGTTCCTGAGATATTAAATCATTTGTACCTTTATAAAAGGCTTGAGATGGACTGCTGGAATTATGTTTCTTAGCAATAGTGCGTCATGTGTTGGGCTGAGTCGGAGTATAACTCCTTCGAGCATTTTTATTTGGACTATATCAGAACTCTAAAAACAAGCATACTTGGTTAATCAAGATTTGTCCGGAAGCCATTCATAAAGGCTTGCCAGCATGGTTCTATCATTGGCGGAAAACTTATGGTGTTGAAATTAGTATAATTCCAGAACCGATCATAAAGTTATACTCAGTGTGGGTTGATTCTTATCCACTCATCTCAAAGACGGATGAAAGTCAGATTATAGATGGCTTATGTCTTACCCACTTCTTTGCTCAAGCAGAAATTCCGTGGATTTGGACTTGATCATTTGAAACTAGTTATACTGTTTCTTATCTACCAATTTTACAGAGAAAATTTTATTGTAGATGGTGGAATGACATCAGTCTAGAAGAAAAAGCAAAGCTGATAGAAAAAATTATTCAAAAGAATACTGCTATTCTTGAGACTCATATGACTCAAGAAATTCAGAAAGAAAATCAAATGCTAAAAATAGCAAAAATGATGAGAAGGAAATAACCTCAAAATTTTGAATCAGAGATCCAACAAAAATGTCTAGAATATTTTAAAAGACAATTCTTTGAGGCTTTCGATACTAGTGATACTAAAAGCCACAGTTCTATGGGAGATGATACTGCTATACAAGATGTTCAAGACCCAGATGATATGTGGGCCGAAGCAATGGCAATCCTTGAAGTTAATATGCCAGACCTTAAAGGTAAAAGCCCAACTTTATAAGTAACCAGTTCTAGATTAAGCCTCGGGGAACCGTCTAGAATAACTTTTTAAAAAAAACTATTTTAATAATTTTGCCTGCCATTTAGCAAATATTTGCTTAGAGACTAAATTCTTAACTTCTTTTTCAATTATGCTTTTAGCAGAACTACAATCAATTCTTAGTAAGAATTCTTGGTTTAAAATATCATCTCTAAATTTAGAGAAGCATTTAATAATAAAAAGCATTTATTTCTTTATTGTAGAATAATTATATTGAGCTTTATCTCACTTTCCAGATGTAAATCTGACTAATTGTTCCTTGTTATTTTGAGGATCTAATTGCTTTAGAATTCCACCATATCCAATATTGAATGCATCAGTTTCTACAATTTTAAACCAATGCATATTGGCTAGATGTATACATGGTAAGCATTTGACATTTGCTTTAATTTTTCTAACTGCAGCAGTATGTTGCTCAGACCATGGTTTAGCACTCTTTTTAAGCCTGCTATATAAAATGACAGTATCTTGTGCTAGATTTTTATAATAATCTGCAACATAGTAGCATTCTTTCTATTTTTAAAGTAGTTTTTTTTTTAAATTATTCTAGACGGCTCTCTGAGGCTCAATCTAGAACTGGTTACTTATGAAGCTGGGCTTTTACCTTTAAGGTCTGGCATATTAACTTCAAGAATTCCCATTACTTCGGCCCACATATCATCTGGGTCTTGAGCATCTTGTATAGGAGTATCATCTCCCATAAAAATGTGGCTTTTAGTATCACTATTATCGAAAGCCTTAAAGAATTGTCTCTTAAAATATTTTAGACATTTTTGTTGGATCTCTGATTCGGAATTCTGAGGGTATTTCCTTCTCATCATTTTTGTTATTTTTAGTATTAGATTTTCTTTCTGAATTTCTTGAGTCATATGAGTCTCAAGAATAGCAGTATTCTTTTGAATAATTTTTTCTATCTGTTTTACTTTTTCTTCTAGACTGATGTCATTCCACCATCTACAATAAAATTTTCTCTGTAAAATTGGTAGATGAGAAACAATATAACTAGTTTCAAATAATCAAGTCCAAATCCACAGAATTTCCGCTTCAGCAAAGAAGTGAGTAAGACATAAGCCATCTATAATCTGTCTTTCATCCATCTTTGAGATGAATGGATAAGAATCAACCCACACTGAGTATAACTTCATGATCGGTTTTGGAATTATACTAATTTTAACACCATAAGTTTTCCACCAATGATAGAACCATGCTGGCAAGCCTTTATGAAGGGCTTCCGGACAAATCTTGATTAACCAAGTATGCTTGTTTTTAGGGTTCTGATATAAGAACACATTATACAATGCCTATTTGTAGTCCCAATAGTTAAAGTAATATACTTCCTTGGTATTCAGAGCTTTTACCAATGGTAATTTCTGATTAGGAATAATTGCCTAATTTCTTGGATGTATAACCTCTTGAATAATACATTTGCTAAAACTTGGTGGAACATTATGGTTCTCACTACTCCAGAAATGGGTAATTTCCATTCCTTTTTACATTATTAATGATTTCATATATCTATATATATATATATATATTATATATATATATATATATAATATATATAGAGAGAGAGAGATGATGAGAGACGGAGAGAGAAGATTTTGAGAGAGGTAAGACTCCTATCAACTTAAGTTGAATTTTTTGTCATCCAAACTCCAACCACTCATTTTATTAATAAAAAATATTTTCATAATCTATGCCCCTTAAGGATCTCTGTTAAATGAGTGGCTAAAAAATTTTGGTGGGGGGGGATAACTTTTGCTCTATTTTTCCATTTAAGTTGATACAAGTTTTGCCTCTCTCTCTCTCTCTCTCTCTCTCTCTCTCTTATATATTATATATATATATATATATATATATATTAATTATATATATATATATATATATATATATATATATATAGGGTGTAAGATTCAAAATTCTGCGTAGCTCATAGTAATAAAACTATGAAAAATAGTTAGGTAAACGGCCATAGTTACTAGAGAACAAAATTCAGTCATGTTATACCTTTTCAATTGCCTTCACATTTTTGCGCCATTTTCTCCCTTTCGAACCACTTCTCTCCTCCTGATGAAGGGCTTCAGCAGCTTTCTTCAGTTCTCTAGCTTTCTTCCCAAGTTCAGTCGCCTCCTGCAGAAACTCAAGGAATAAAGTCAAGATGATTCATGTGCCATCTGACTATCCATTAACAGATGTTTGCTCTTGTTACTAAAAACATGATGACGTAATAGGATATATCACAACCACCGACCTTTATATACTGTGAGCGAGTGATAACTGCCTTGGGGCGTCGTATGAATGAAAAGATGAGTCCCAAAGGAAAGCAAGCAATGCCAACACCTCCAAATATCTAAGAATAGATTACCAAGAACAATACTCGTCATATCAGAGATTTGCAATTAGATATGAACATTTGCAATGGTATGTCAACATTACTCCTAGGCATGCAACGTTGTAGAATGGGAACTTTTATGATGAAACTGTAAGTGTGTCTAACAAGTTGATAAGGACAGAATTCTTGAATACTCCTCAAGTGTCCTTGATTATATCTTTTATATAGCGTATATTTAATTCAAGACAGTTACAGGTCACTTCTTAAACACGTTTTATATTTCTGATAAACTTCTTTGATTATTTCCTATCTTTGATATATTTATTTCATTATATATCAAAAATTTTAGGGGAAAATGCCACCGTTGAATTGTATAAAGCAATGATAATTTAAGATAGGTTTCAAGATAAAAAGTGAGATTACCGAACTATTCCATAGAATAGTTGAAGAATAAAGAGTACCCCTTTGCAGGGTCATAATAAATGTGTGACGGGTCAAAGTTTACAGCATCTCATTTTGGCTTTTGGATGAATAGACATGTCTATATATAGTTATAGACATATGCACTCTCTGTCATTTAAATGTCCTAGGACCTAGGGTCATGTCAGGGTGTTCGTGTGTCTTGTCTTATGTTTCAAAGAATTAACATCTCATCCATCTCCATGATTCTTAGTATATAATTCATAACACACTACCAACTTAGTTTGAAAAATTACTACCAAAATGGCACAATGTATCTAGCACAAGAGATTTGTACTGCTAGTATGCTACAATTTCTCCATATCAAACACAAGTGCATACATCACAAGGATTTGTCTTGCAACATAAATATTAAAAGTTGTCAAAGAATTTCCTTCAAGGAAAATTGCAAAGTTTGTATATCTTAACATTATTCTAAGTTGAAAACTTTCCCTGAAAAGAAAATAATTAAGATTCAAAACATACTGTGAAAAGTACTGATCCAACGATTGTTGCAAGAGCCACAACATATTCTGGAAAAGTGGCACGCATTGTCCATGTGGTTTCTGAAGAAGGGCTTGCTGTGTATGCATCACACTGCAATCACAATTGACTAAGTAGCAAGAATAATGAGGAACACCAGCTATGATGAAAACAGAGTTATACCAAATAAAACCTGTACATGGCTAACAATTACTATATGTGTGTGTGTGTGTGTATACACACACACGTATATATATATATATATATATATAATATATATATATATATATATATATTATATATATATATACTATTTTATATATATATATATTATATATATATGATGATAGATTAACAATAGAGTAAAAGAAGAAATAATAAACCATTTCCTATTACCACTTACGTGCTACATGAATCGGTAAATTGTTCCAATACAGGGTTTCAAATAATTTTTTTTTGGCTATTTAAATATTAAATATGATTTTCTAAAAGAGTATTTGTATTTTCAAATTTCTCTAGAATTTTCTATGATTTAAAAAAGTTTATATTTTATTTTATAATTTTGCTAATTATAAATAATTGTTTCGTAAAACTTTTAAATTATAGTTAATTATTCATTATTGTTATTGTTATTATTATTATCTTTGACTATAAATTTTAATAATTTATTTGAAATAAATTTTCTAATACTTTTAATTATTATTTAAAGTGGTATTTCCCCTGTGTTTTTCCCTGCTGTACTCTTCACTCTATTTCTCGTTCATCCATGCCACTTCTTTTCCCTCACCTCACGACAAACTCACCTCACTCCTCCATGTGCTTTTCCTCCCCTAATCCCTTCCTCGTGCTTCTCCCCTTGAGATTCCTCTCTCCCCCCTCTATTAATTTATCACACACTCAGCTCACACTCAATCTCACTCTCCATTTTTCTCTTCTCTTATCATTCTCACATTTTTCGCTCTCTCCTCACTTATTCAGCCTCTCTCTTTCTTAATCTCTCTCTTTCTCCCCAAGAAAACCACAGCCCTCTCTCTCTCTTCTCTCTTCCCACGTTCTCTCCTCTCTCTCCATTCATCACCATCGCCCTCTCCTCTTCCACCCGACGCTCCACCAGCGCAGCTCCGCCGCCCCTGATCGTCGCCTCCAGCTCGCCACCCGAGCTCTGACGCCCTGAACCCAGCGAGCAGCCTTCCAAGTTCCGCGCCCAGCTCGCCACTGACGCCCCCGTCTGCCCGCTGGTTCGCCACCAGTCACGGTCAGGCCCCTTCCTCCTCTGTCCCCCAGGCCCAGCCAAGCCGCTTCGCCTCAGCTCCTCTCCCCTCATCGCGAGCCTCCCCAGGACTTGCCGCCTATCACCGCCCCCTTCTCTAGCTTCACCCTTCAACCCGCGCCAACCACACCCCTCCCGCTACCCTTGGCTCACCCGAGCCCAGGCTTCAACCAGCCAACCCGGCGTCCAGCCCCTCACGCCATCGTCGTGCTCGCCCCTTGACCGTCGCCTGCAGACCTGCCACCACGCCCGCCGAGCTCCCCTCATTCGCCGCCCAACTCCCCAGCTCCAGCTCCTCTTCAAATCCCTGACGCCCAAATAGCCTTCATCGCCCTCATGTTTTGCGTCGACAACGCCTCCGAGCTCCTCCGTCGTCGTCGAGCCATCGCGCCAACCACCCCGTTGTCACCCAACGTTGTCGCGCTGTCCCAAACCTGTAGGCCACCCCCATCACGCCAACAAACTCCAGCAGTCCCGCCGCCGACGAGCCCAAATCAGTGAACTCACTGCAGAAAATTGTAGTTCGGAGCCAACTTCGCGCGCGTTTTCCGACCAACTTCGACCTCCGTTTTCGTCGATTCCTTCGCCGGTGCGTAGCCCTTCGTGTTGTCTACCACACGGTATATTCCTTTCACTTGGGCTCCCTATCTACACCTCGTTATACTCGTTTGAATATCACACGTCGCATTAACACTCTAATTGTAATTTTAGCCGTCGATTCCGCAAAACCTGTCGTAACGCTGTGCAACCACCCGACGACCCCCATTACGATCCACGATATACCCAAGGTAAGATCCCACTTGCTCAGAACTAAATTTTGTATTTATTATGAATTATCTAAAATTTTAGATCAGTTAATAATTATCTACGTGGGATTGTTTGATGAATAATATTAGATAAATCATAATAAAATGGCAATTAGTATTTTTAGAATAATTATGATAAATTAAAAGAATTATTTCGATAGCGGAATCATTTTTAGATAATTATATTAATTAAAAAGAATTTATTTAAGAATGAAATCATTTTAGGAAAATTATAATAATTTAAAAGGAATTATCTTGGAAAAAGAATCATTTTAGAATAATTATAATAATTTTTAGAAATTATCTTGTGGAAGAAATTATTTTAGAATGCTAAATATTTTTTTTAAAAAATTTATAGACTATTTTGAATTAATGAGAATTTATCTTATAAAAAGATTATTTTTGAATTTATGAATTTATTATTTTAAAAGATTATTTTTAGAATTATTATAATGAGAAAAGAACTTATTTTGGAAAAATAGATTATTTTGAAATTAAATTAAAAGAATTTAAATTGTAAAAGGAATTATCTTGAAGTAAATAAATTTATTTCTGATTCTTAATTAAAAGAATTTATTATTTCAGAAGATTATTTTAGAACAATTTTATGATTTCTAATTCTTAATTATGTGATATGCCTTGATATTATCGTACATGATCAATCGTATTCTTTATTTCTGGTTGTGTTTGACAACCGTTAGTAGTCATGACCGTAGTAGCCTTGCGTGACCTAGAGAAATGTGTTGTGTTGACTTAGCAAAACGAGAAGAGTTGGGATGGGAAAGTCCGTGTTCATGTGATCGGATAAGACTGTTGATGTATCTTCCAGGCTCTACCTCATGATCTTGTTCTTGTGTAGCATTGGGGTTGGTTTGTTGGGTCAAAATGAAGCTTGTGTAGTCACTTTGGTCCGTGATTTTAACATTCACCCGAGTTTAGCTTGAGTTCGGACCAGACTGAAATCGGATTACGTGTAACCCTCTGACCGATCTTGTGTAACAGTGTATTAGGTGCACGTAGGGGATTTATGAACAGTCAGTTATCCGTTGATATGAGCGTTGACTCTGTGTGAGATGTGAACCAACGACCTGTTATAGGATGGCTAGTTACATGACCTCGTTTCTTGGCTATGTATGAATTCTTGTGAGATACGAACCAGTTATGTTTCTTTTCATAAATAGATTGGGATTAATATTTAATTATCTACAGTTTGAGACATATGGTATATACATAAAGATTTTCTTGTTTGGATTATTTCGCTCGACGTACTTCGTCTCGAGTTGTAGATTTTTAAGTATTAATTCCATCTAGTGTATGACCCTGTGCTTGGATGATTATTCTGATCGCTAGCTGCATGATCGACTTGTTACTTGGTTGATTTCCTTGGATTATTCTGATTATTCTATTCTAATAGTAAATTATATTTAGATTATTAGTATTTCAGTTGCATGTTTTCATTGTTATTACCATTATTGCATTGGTCGCACGACCGTTTCTATTCTTCCTTTTGGGATCTTGCCGTGTGCCATGCACGCTGACGTACTCCTTTTTCTCGGAATATACGTCAGATTTAGAGGACGAACAGCTACAGTTCGGAGTAGTACAGGAGCCAAAGGATCCTCCGCAGAAAGATTTTGCAGACGAAGCAAAAGAATAAGTTGAAGCTTAGTTACCTCTTTTAGTTAGTTGATCCTAGTTTACTTTTGTAGTATTTTTATTTTCTGTCGGATCGTTGTATTTTATATTTTTCCAGCATTTCATTCAGATAGTTTTGTATAAAGGCATGTTTGGCCCGAATATTATGTCTGGGATGATGTTCCAGTTGTGATATGTATTATTTTGTTCTGAGTTGTTTATCATATTCTCGCTACTGTGATCGGGGACCTGTGCCTTCGTTTTATATTTGCTTGACGCTTAGCGTATTAGATTGAGCAGAAAGAATCTAGTACTTATTTCTCCTCAGTCTAATACATCGCGGGCTTGTTCACGTTTCGATTCCCTGATATTTTGGGAAGCGGGGCGTGACACATAGGTTTACACCAAGGATCAGCTTTTAAGTCTTTATCTTTTTGCATTAGTTATGGATCAACTTACTAAGCATATTCAGGATAAAATCCCAAGGTGTATGTTATTTGCCGATGATAAAGTATTAGTTGACGAAACTAGAAGAAACATTATTTCTAAAGTAGAAAGATGGATACAAGCTCTTGAATCTAAAGGTTTAGAATTAGTAGAACAAAAACAAAATATATGGTGTGCATTTTTAGTAAACTTAGGAAAAGAAGAGAGCCTGTGGTACATATTGATGACCAAGAAATACTTAAAACTAATCATTTTCGCTATTTAGGATTAATCATTAGGATAATGGTGAGATAGAGAATGATATTGTGCATCGAATCAAGTTAGGATGGTTAAAATGGAAGAGTACTTTGGGAGTCTTATGTGATCGTAGAATACCAATGAAACTAAAGGAAAAATTCTAAAGGATGGTTATAAGACTAGCTATGCTTTATGGGTCAAGAGTGTTGGGTAATTAAAAAACATGTTTAAAAAATAAATGTACCAGAAATGAGAATGTTGCGATGGTCTTATGGGTATACATTAAAAGATAGGATAAGAAATTAGCGCATTCGTAGTAAATTAGAGATTACTCCTATTGAGGATAAAATGAGAGAGAACATATTAAGATGGTTTGGTCATGTACAACGAAGACTCCTTAGTGCACTGATTAGGAAAAACGATAATATTAGAGTTAATGGGGCTAGGAGATCCAGAGGTAGACCTAGAATGACTTAGTTAGAAACAATTAAGAATGATATGATTAGGACTAACTTAACGGAGGAGATGACTCATAATAAAATGGAATGGAAAGATAGGATTCATGTAGCCGACCCCGAACATTTGGGATAAATACTTGGTTTTTGCTGTTGTTTGTATATGTGTGTATACATATACATATACATATACATATACATATCCTAGTATCTTACTCCATCAAGCAAAATGAAGCCTAATGAGCAAATTTGACCAAACTCTACTTTCTCATTGCTTTCCATACTATCGTGACACACTATGCTAATAATCCAAAGAAAGAAATCTAACTCCACCTAAGGAGAGAAAAAGAAGAACCTGACGAGCAGATTGACCAATACAAGGTTGGCTGCTTGAGAACTCAGACCAGGTACTCGGGAAGCTTGTTGCAGATGAAGAAAGGTGCCTAACTGTGAAGTCCACTTTACCTATGAGCCCTGTTATTCAAAGATAACATATTAAGTAGAAAGCATAACTGAAAAAGAAGCAGTCCAAACAAAGTAATTTTGACAATAATAGCATGTTCAATGTTCCATAATGACTAGTCCCTGTTTGGGAGATCCTTACAAAGTTATACATGACCGATTTGTCCCCTTTCAAACGAAAAATGCAAGTGAACAAGAGAGAATAAAAAAATGAGACAGACAACAACACCCAAACTAAAACTAATTTCTCCTGTTACACCCACACCACACCCAGACTAAAATAGTTCCTTAGCATAAGGCCACATTTAGGTCCATTACATGTCACTAGATGCCTCTAATGGACCAATACCAGGAGGCATTTAACTTGTAGAAACCTAGTGGGAGAAAAATATAGAAGTCCTACTACAGCTTAAACATCAGTTTCCACGTTNCAATTACAACTATGGTATTTCAATTTTCAGGCCCATCAGGTGACAACTAAATTTCCAGTAATACCAACCCTCAAAAAACCCTTTTATTAAGGAAATGGAGTGGTAAAGGCTCAAAAGCTCAAATTTTTTAGAGATTTCTGTTTATATGTTGTGGCCAACAAGGAATGAGATTGTTTTTAGAAGAGCTAATATCGATGTTGAGGGCATTTTTCAGAATATTTTGTAATGTTTGAAATTTTAAAGGATACAGCTTAGTAGAATTCAAAACATTTCTGATACTGTACAGAATAGAGTGGCGTAGGAGATTGTGCATTTCTCCCGAGTTTGTTTGATAAGTTTGAAATATTGGTTGGGTTGCAGAATGTCGTTGGGACAGTGGGATACTTGTACAGATTTTTCTAGCAGAAATAACGCTCAGGTTCTGCTTAAAAGAGGGAGAAGCTTAAGAGAGTTCATATGTTGTACGGGGTGTTTGCATATATATAGATGGTTTTAAGTGGCCTTCCTCTGTTTCTTGTTTTGATAAATAGAATGGATGTGTTTGTAGTGCTGTTAGATTTTTGGGGTTGTAATTTTTAGACGTATGAGTTTTGTACATTTGAGTTCATATGACCATTGACGTTTTTGGTATTGAATAAAGCTAGCATTTTATACCCCAAAAAAAAAGACCTCTTATGTGCAACGGCCGACATAAAGGGTTCTAATAATGTACAATCCCGATTAATAAGTGTGCAATGTCTTCAACCTATTAAACTCTAAAGCCACTGAAACCTTACAAAAACCCATCTTTCATGCATTAAGAGCCAACATAGATACTAAAGAATTAAGACAAGTAATCAAAAACATTCAACAACAATGCAGAACAAAATCAAACAGAAATAAGAAATTTCACCAACCATAGAGAATCCCAAGCGCGAGCGCGCAAACAACAGCCGAAGCCAGAACCCACAGCAGCGCACTCCTCAGCCTCTTCGCCACGCTCCTACAAGATGCCAAACACCCAATCAATCAGAAGCCAAACTTTCGCCCCAAACCCTAACCCTAGGATCACCGCCGACAACCACCGTACTTGTCCTGGTCCCCTTCATAGTAGAACATCGCGAACGGGATGAAGAAGAACACGAGCACAGCATCAACAATGTAAACGACGAGCCACAGCGTCTTCATCGGGAGCGTGACGGTCGCAGGCGCCGTTTGTAGATGGCGTGCGGCAAGCTTGGCGGTTGGCGACGTCGGCGGGAGCATGAGGATGGATATGGGAGAGCCCGGCGACGACGACGAGCTTGGGGAAGTAGGCTTGGTTGACGTCGTCGGGGTGCTGGTAGTTGACGAGGAGGTAGATGTTGAAGAGGACGACGAGGACGCAGACGACGGCGGCGACGATCACAAGGGCTAGGTTGAAATCCCCCATTTTTTGAGGTGAATTTGGGGAATTAGGTTTTTTTTTTTTTTGTGTGTGGGGGGAGATTTCGAACAGAAGGAGGAGAGTGGAAAAGGGGGAAAGGAGGAGTTTGGTGATGGACCCAAGTCGGTGTCCAAGGGCCAGGCTGGCATCCAGTTGGCCTGTTTACAGCAAGGAGGTTTCTTTTTCATATGAAATTTTTTTTTTTAAGGGGCTGTTCGTTTCGGAAAAAAAATTAGGAAATCAAAGAATAGAAAACCTATTTCCTATAATAATTGTTTTGAGGTTGTTTGGTTGGCTTAAAAAAGAAGAAAACTATAGAATAGGAGATGAGATGAGATGAGTTGTCACCTTGTAAGTGATTTTTTTAAAAAAAACTTGTTTTGAGGTTGTTTGGTTGGTTAAAAAACTAAGGAAATGAATTGGAGTTATATTATTGGATGATGTTTTAGGTTGTTTGTGTTTGGTTCATTTTTAAAAATAAGAAAATAGATGAGATGAGATGAGATGAGATGAGATGAGTTAGAGGTATATTATTGGATGATGTGACACATACTTAAGGAAATTAATTTCTTGTTTTTTTTAAGAGAATGGATGGAAAGGAATGTTTAATTAGATGATATGAGTTGTCACAATATTATTGGATGATGTGTGTGATTTTTAAAAATGAGATAAAATGAGATGTGATGAGTTGGATGATGTGACACATTTCTTGTGTTTGGTTTATTTTTAAAGGTAAATGAGATGAAATGAGATGAGTTAGAGGATAAAAATATTATTTTATTGGATGTTGTGGATGAGTTTTAGGAATGAAAATGGATAAAAATATTATTTTATTGGTTTCCTTGTACCGATTTCCTTTTCTTGGTTTTTAGGAAACCAACCAAACGGCGTCTTAATGAAGATGCAGCCCCGCTCTTTAATCTCGTCAATTGCAGCTGCGTACACGATTAGATATGGTTTATTATTACTATTAAGTTCTCATAATAATCTCTAGGGGGGTTATTGGTTGGGACATTTTGGGGGATAATGGGATAATTTTGGGGATTCTATTTCATAGTGTTATTCATTGGGACAATGGAACAAGGATGTTACTTTTTTGGGACAAATTTTTAAAAAGAACCGTTTTCCAACTTTAATGTGCAAAATCGACCGGTTCAAAAAAAATTTAGCAAAATCGACCCTTTTCAAATGAAAAGGGTCGATTTGGCTGATGTGAATTTTTTTAGAGTGCACGGGACTGCTAGTCCTGTGCATCCAATCTTTCTCCTCACTCACCTGTGCTCAGCTCTCTCTCTCTCTCTCTCTCTCTCTCTCTCTCTCTCTCTCTCTCTCTCTCCCAATCTTTCTCCTCACTCACCTGTGCTCAGCTCTCTCTCTCTCTCTCTCTCTCTCTCTCTCTCTCTCTCTCTCTCTCTCATTCCCTCACGCACACACACTCTCTCTCTCTCTCTCACACATTCCCTCTCTCTCCAATCAATTCTCTCTCAACCCTCAAAAGAAACCCACCCCTGTAGGCGTCAAAAAATGCTGAAAGATATCCAAATGCAGCTCAAGAGGAGATCATCCAAAAATTAAAAAAAAGACACAAGTATAGACTGTCACGCACGCGAGACAGTCTTTACTGTCTCGCCATGCGAGACAGTCTTTACTGTCTTGCACGCGAGACAGTCTTTACTGCCATGCGAGACAGTTTTTACTGTCTCGCACGCGAGACAGTGTTCACTGTCTCGCACGCGAGGCAGCTTTCAAAGGTTCAGAACCGTTTTGTATAACTGCTGACACGTGTCCATTGGCTGTCAAAGAACGTGGGGAACGTCGTGGGCGAGAATCACGTGGATAACTGTCAAAATAACGGAGTTTTAAAACGTGAGAAGGCAGTTACAAGAAAACTATCGGGCAGTTGAAGATTTCCGAGACAGTATTTACTGTCTCGAAACCCGAGGCAGTGTTTACTGTCTCGGAACCCGAGACAGTCTTTACTGTCTCGGAACCCGAGACAGTCTTTACTGTCTCGGAACCCGAGACAGTCTTTACTGTCTCGGAACCCGAGGAGCAGAGAGAGCAGAGTTCCTGAGCTTCCGGCCATTCCTTGAGATTCGAGCTTTGACTTGATCTTAAGAAGAACGATCGTCTTACTTTGATAAGATCTTCGTTTCAAATTCTCACTTCGATAAACGAAGGAAGAATCACTAAACCCCTCACGATTCAATCAGAATCTGTGATTTGGTGGTCCACGAGTCAAAGCGCTCCTGGCACAGGCAAAGATCCTACGCAAGCAGTGATCCAAACAACGATCTTGCGTTTGTTTCTAAAAAGTTATAATTTTTATTTTGTTGTGTAAAAGAAGTCTTATAAAAAGGCTATCTCTTTTGAATTTGTTATAATCGATCGAAGATATAATGAATTCCACAACGAGACCAACTTTTGACGCAAACAAACTGGCGACCACAGTAGGAGTTAACGGTCTCGCTGCCGAGACCGTCGTGTCGCGGCCGATCAAGATATTGGTTGAGTCCATGGTTAAATATGAATTCGACCAAGCAAAGTTTGAGGAATATCTGTCATCCTCATCCTCAAAGTCTTCCTCGCCTCACAAATGCAGGAAAATTCCATCTTCTAAGAAGGTTTTCAAGTTTTCGACTCCGTCGAACACTACAGATGAAGACTCTCGCTTGATTGTTGCTGAGGATTCTACTCGCAACCTCTCTGCTCACAATAACTCTTATCTAGTTAAAGAGTCATCGAATCAAAGCCCATCGGCACTGACGAAGAGGGCTCGTCAGAGACAACGTCAGCGCCGCGCTCGTCAAATAGCTAAGGCCTTGGAACAAACCGACAGGGTTCGTTATCACGCGGACCTAAAGTCGAGGAGGCATCGAGTGGTTCAGTTGTCTCAACAACCAATCACTCATATCTCTGCTAAACTAATGACGGATGAATGGACTTTTGTCAAGAGGGCTCGCTCAACCCTTGAAGAACGTATACAAAAGCGTCATGCAAACGTTGCTTATGCCCGTGCTCTCTTACAACAAAGACGAGAAAGGAACAAGAAAACGATGGTCAAAGAACCACCAAAATTCTACAAAGTTTAGATTCCAAAGTCTGGAGTTATGCAAAATCAGCATTCGGAGCCCGTTAAGACTCCATACCCACAAGGGAGTGGTTCTAAACGTGTGACTCCCGACATAACCTTGGATCGCTCAAAGACAGTAATAAATTGTCCTGAGAATGCCAACAAGATTTTACATCCCCAGAAGAAGACGCATTCACCAAAAGACATCGTCATACCTGGGAGGTCATGCCAACAAACGATACGATTTTTTGGCAATCATACCGATGAATCGTATTATCAAGTTAGGGGTGTGAATAAATTTCGAAAGAGAATTATTCGAGAAATAAGCTCTCATTGTTCCTGTGCACGACTCATTAGAGCAGTATTGTCGGAATATGACTACTCCAAACGAGGAGCCATCCCGCAAAGAGTCCCAATATTCCAGAGACTTTTCACCAAAATGTCAAAGCCCAAGCCAAGACATTTCTGCAAGAAGCTTGCTGTTCAAGAGGATGAATTCCCTGAAGTCACCATCAATATGACTGATAAAGGAAAATCTAAATGGCATTCAAGTAAATCAAATCCCGACTTTTCACCGGGAGGAAAAGTTAACTCAAGAATTGCTCAACGGATGTCTCGACTCCAGTTAAGAGCCGTCAGACGTAGGGACTACAAGAGAATGCATGAAAGAATGTCATCAGAGGATGAGCTCTCGGACACTTATTCTGTGATCGCTTCGGATGATACAATATCTAGCACAGGGCAAACCAGAGAAGTACTCACGATCACCTCTGATCAGTTCGCTCAAATACTTCAAGAAGCTCTAGCCAAACAACGTGAAGAAATTAGGGCTGAGATGAAGATGGAGATGGAGTTGGCTATTCAACAAATGAAAGAATTGGTAGCTCAACGGTCTTAACTTCCTGAGTCCAGTCAGCGAGCTGAATCCAGCCGCACACTCAGAATGTGGCAGAGTCATCTTTGCTGATGCACCTCCCAGTAGCAATAACGCTGGGGGTGGTTTAACGCATCCTCCCAATAACGATATTGGGGGTGGTTCAATGGCACCTCTTACAGGGGGTGGTCTAACTCATTCTCCTCAATGTCCTTCGAATGAAGACATAGATGATGATGAGAAAATGAAAGAGCTTGAAAACAAAATCAATGCTTTGATGACGGCTCAAGAAGTGAAAAAGATGGGTATTCCATGTCCCTATCCAAGAGAATGGGATTTAATACCGTACCCAGCAAAATTCAATCTGATTAACTTCACACCGTTTGACGAGAAAAGCTCGCCTACTCAGCACTTGATTTATTTCAAGTCTCATTTGGGCATGATCTCTGAAAACGAGGCTTTAATGGTCCGGTCATTTGTTGGCACCCTTCGTAGGTGTAGGCGTTAAAAAATGCTGAAAGATATCCAAATACAGCTCAGAAGGAGATCATCCAAAATGTCAAAAAAAACACTAGTATAGACTGTCTCGCACGCGAGACAGTCTTTACTTCTGCGCACGCAGACCAGATTTGAACTGTCTCGCTGTGGAGAGCAGTCTTTCTACCTGTCTCGCGGGCGAGAACGAACTTTTACTATCGATCGCCCACGGTCGGCGAGACATGCGTATGTCTGTCTCTCGCTTGTCGCTTTGGGCGGGACGAGACAGGCTTTTTACTTGTTTTGGTCATAAAGTCGTCGTGTGTCCACCGGTGGGAATTGCAGTTACTAACTTTGTTCTACTTCACACAAATTCGAAAGGATAATCCTTTTATAAAGGACCTTTTTCCCTACATTCTGCAAGCAGGATTCAAAATTCACAGAGCACTCTTGAGATATCAAACACGAAAGATCGTTTATTCAAAATTCGTTTTCGTGGGACTTTGCTGTGCGCGGAACGCTTTGGCTTCGTGGACCGCCGATTCACAGATCGTGAGAGGGGGCTTATTATTCCTAAACTTCGTTAGTCTAAGTAGAAATTGAACGATCGACCATGTCTTATCGAATGTAAGATAGTCGTTGTCTCGTTTCTTAATAATCAAGT